CGCTCGCATTGATTTAACAAAACCGATTTAAGCCCTTGCATCCGGTTAGATGGGTACAACGCACCGCTTCGGGGTCCCCTTCACCTACAGGCATAAAGCTTGCCGTGGTCCGTAATAACACGCTGTACCACTGCCACTCCGATTTACGTGGTTTAAACCCCAACCTGTAGTTAAACAGCTGGGCTGCCATTTGAAGATACAGACGAGATGCAAAAACGTCTCTAGTGGTCTTTCCATAAAGGGCATTTTCATACCACAAGTAAGGTATCAAGAAGAGATGAAAACCACCAGAAGATCTCTCCACAGCCAACGCCCCCGTCCTTGGGCCGCCGATGGAGACGAGCAAGCACGAACCTCTCTCTGCAGAGGGTTTCTCACAGCGCAAGCTGAGAAGCAGCTGAAAGCGGGGCTGTGACTCCTCGTGTGAGCAAGGGCCACCTTCGAAGCGCTGACTACCCAGGGCAGACTACCTGATCTGCTTTTCCGGCTTGCAAAACCAGCAGCCAGTGCTTCTCTAGAGCCGTCCTGTCCCCTTTGCGGCGGGACGGTGTGAGCCCCGTGCCAGCAGGCACGAGCAGCTCCTCAGGGCCCGCTGGCGGCGAGGCCGGCCGCCCGAAAGGCGATGTCCCAGGCCCCCACGCTGCCGTGACCTGCTACGATCCCCCTGCGGCGTTCCCAAGCAGGCAAGCAGCTGCCCTGGACCAGGCTAGCTATGCGTCCAGTTAGCCCAGCACCCTGGCTCTTCCTGTAGCCGGTAACAAACAACGGGGGAAAAACCAGCCAAGAATGACAGGGAAAGGAAAACCAACTGTCCTCCGGTTGCATCGCCCAGCTGCTGAGCCCGATGCTCCATCCCAGCGTTGTTAGCCATCAGTGCAACCGTCTTCCACTAATTTGGTTTGGGCTTGGTTTTCCCCCCCCAAATCTATTTATCTTTCATCTTCTGCAATATCTAGTTACAGGGAGTTTTACAATGTAATACCTAGGAAAAATGCACTCTCTTGATGTCAGCGTGCACTGGTGGGTGCTCCCCGGGGTCTTCGACCGCGAAAAGTAATGACACCCCTCTGCCCCTTTCCCCTCTCCAGAGCATTTATCGCTCTGTACGCTCCTACAACATTAATTCCTCTTTCGTACCAAGAGCCCTTGGCTTTTTACTCTCTTTCTTTTCAGCCGGAAACTTTAAGCCAGCTCTGCCAGTAGCTTCGTGTTAACGGGCGGCGATCAGCGGACGGAACCGCTGCTCGTCGCCCTCCCACCGCGGGCTCGCCGCGCCCCCGGGCCCCGCTTCCCCTTGGCGCCTCTCCCG